ATGTCACATTACTGTATTTTTGTAAACCAAATTTAGAAAACATTAGTCCCCAAGTGCCAGCATGTTAACATACTCAATACCAATATGGGTGCTTGTCTCCCTCCTTAGTGCCATGCTCAGAATCCTAGAGGGATACACAGTACAGAAAATACAAGAAGTGACCCTCTGATCTTCAACATACCTTAATTACCACTGAGTTATTACGTCCATTTCAAAGACTCATGACTCCTACCCCTTAGGACTGTGCCAGGTAAAGGAGCTTTTGCTGAGGATCCCAAGCTGCCGCTTCCCTGGGTCCCTCACACAGCTGTTCTTCCATTCAAAGTACTGTGTACAAGGGGGCCAGATCTCTGATTCTCTAGGAAACCCAAGACCCTCATTCTTTCCCCAATATCCAATAAACTTCCCCTTATCCTTCTGTTGTTGTTGTTGTTATGTGCTGTCGAGTTGGACCCGACTCATAGCGACCCCTGTTTGGGTTTCCGAGGCAGTATCACTACGGAAGTAGATTGCCCCATCTTCCTTCCTAGGAGTGGCTGGTGGGTTTGAACCGCCAGCCTTCTCGTTAGCAATCAAGTGCCTTAACCACTAAGCTACCAGAGCTCCACCTCATCCTTCTAGAATGGGCCATTTCCACTTCCACCAACTCCTTCAGCTACACAATAGGCTCTGTAACACAAACTTTGATGAGGAGTTGTCTTCCAGGAGCTGCTGCTTCTATCTTCATCCCTAAAACCCAGCAACTTTATTGGTACAGAACAAAAACATTGCTTATGCTTGCCAGAGTCCTACAGCACAAGAACTACTCACAATTCATAGCTCAATAAATTATCCTGCTACATATTTCCTCTTTATAAATATTTGTACCCCAAAAGAAAATGTACTTCCCATTCCAGTGTTGCCCTCAAGGATGTGAAGCTATACCAGCCTTTAACCCAACTAATCAGTTATCTGGACTGAGTTGCATTCTCTTGATATATCATAACCCCAAATGCAAATTAATGCCTCATAATGTGTATAAAAATACAACTGAATTTTACATATTGATCTTGTAGCCTATGAACTTGCTGAGCTTATTAGTTCTAACAATTTTGTGTGAATTTCTTATGATTTTCTAAATACAAGAAATTGTTTTATTTCTTCCTTTTCAATCTAGTGGCCTTGTTTCTTTTTTCTTGCCTAATTACCCTCGCTAGAACCTCCAGTACAATGTTGAATACAGTGGTGAGAGCAGGCATCCTTGTCTTGTTCCTAATCTTCAGAGAAAAGATTCCAGTCTTTCACTGTTCAATATGGTATGAGCTGAGGGGTTTTCATAGACGTCTTTATCAGGTTGAGGAAGTTCCCTTCTATTCCTAATTTGCTGAGTGCTTTTATCATGAAAGCATATTGCATTTTTTCATTTGCTTTTTCTGCATCTATTGAGAATGGTCGTGTGTTTTTGTCCTTTATTCTATTAATGCAGTGTTACACAGTTGTTTTGTTTGTTTGTTTGGATTTCAGGATGTTATACCAAGCTTGCATTTCCAGGATAAAACTTGGTTATGGTGTATAGCACTTTCTGTACGTTACTGGATTTGGTTTGCTAATATTTTGCAAATCAATGTTGCATCACTGTTGAAGGATAGTCCCCATGTCAGCAGTGATTTTGAAAGATCTCACTCAATTTTCTGCATAACTGTTCTCCAATAGAATCTTAGCAATTTTCTCAAAATCAATGAGTTTAAATTCCAGGGGTCATAATTTTTCTGTGTGCAGCATTCAAGGATCCCACAGTGTAGCAGGTATGAATTTGCTCCACAGCACTTAGGCAGTTGGTGTCACTAGGGGAGTGTGCGGGGTGCAGACTGCACTGCATGATACTATCAGAGGGGGTGATACCAAAATGACTATCTGTGATATTTTTTTGCAATGTTTCAGCAGAAATTTATTCTTTTTACTAAATATATCCCTGTAGTTATGACAACAAAAACACTTTTCATAAGTCCAGCTTACATGTACCAATTTACCTAAAATGCTAAAATTCTATGGCACTGTGCTTTTTGAACTTTCTAATGCACTCCTGTCAGAGCTGTCATTATTACCCAATTACAATGACACTTTTAGCACTTGGTCTCATAAGGATGTGCTACAAGCATGAACTGTCGCTTTTGTTGCTGACGGTATTTATATAGTCACTAACTTTGTCAAATTTTCTGGTATTTCACCTACAATATTGTGGTACTAGGAGCTCTGGTAGCACAGTGGTTAAGGCATTAGGCTGCTAATCAAAAGGTCAGCAGCTGCTCTGCAGGACAAAGGTGAGGCAGTCTGCTTCCCTAAACATTTACAGCCTTAGAAACCTGTGGGGAAGCTCTACTCTGTCCTACAGGGTCACTATGAGTCAGAACAAACTCAGTGGCAGTGGGTCTGGTTTTTATTGTGGTAATTCATGTTTGTGAACCTATACCAATATCGTGTTTGCTAATGAAATAATAATTAAAGGAAAAGAAAGAAAATCAAAAAAGGTTTCCACTCAGTTACTAATAATGTTGTAAGTAATAATGCTGTGATTCAGTGCAGAAAGATTTTACAAAACCAATTTGTTGTTGGTATTCATATAATCTAAGAAATAATTACATTTAAGCCACTTACAACTATAATTATCACATTATTCTATGATTAAAATTGATAATAAATATTACTAAGGATTCTATATCGTCTGGTATAGGGAGAGGTCCATGGGGTGGGGGGGGGGAACACCATGAGTTTCCACAGTGGATGATACCAACCCTAGTATGACTGAAGTGAAAGAAATATCACATAGCCATAGTCCTGTAAATTGAATCAAGCTGCCTCCAAGCCCCCAGCAACTTGCCACAGTGGCAAGATATTCCATGCTCAGTCAGATCTTGGTAGAGTGACCAGCCATTCTGCTTTGCAGGACTGAGTGGTTTCATGAGACATAGGTCTGTCAGTGCTAAAACTGGGTAATTCCCAAGCAAACCAGAATAGTTGGTTATCCTAAGTCTTAGACCAACATTAGTTTAAAAGCCTCCCTTTACTAAATTATAACCTGTAAGAAGAGAAAGGACATCTATGAATTTCTAGGGACATAATAGACACTCAATACATTTTTAATTTTATAAATAATCAGTAAATAAGCAAACTAAAGCACAAAAATGCATGAAAAATAGAAGAAACAAATTAAAATAAATAAATAAAAAGGCTTGAGCCCCCTAACAGCTATTTGAGTGAACTGAAATTGAGTGTCTTGGTCAAACTTGCATCTTCCTAGTTATCCCTTCCCAAGAACATTCCTTCCAGGCTTTAAGAGGGCAGGTCCTCAGAGCAAGGACAAGTCCCCCAAAAAATACACATACACCGTGATTCCTAGATTGTTTCTTACCAGTTTGATGGGTTTTAAAAGCATCAGGCAGACTCTCCATCCTGTTTTGCATCTCTTTTTGGAAAGACAGCACATCTCCAGAGATAAGCAAAATGTTAGAAAACCACAAACTTCTGACAGTACCCATAAAGCTCTTGGCACAGGGCCTGGCATATGGTAAGCATCCTATAAACGTTCATGATTATGATTGTGATTATGATTAACTTTCTCATGCCCAAATCACCTGTGCCCCGAAATATCTTAGTGAGGTTGTTCCCTGCCTCCGAACTCGTCAGTCAATTCCTGAGGTCATCTACCACAGGAATTATACACACCTCTTCTCAAAGAGATGAACAGTTTTCCTACCACCTTCTGGTGCCCACCAAACCTCCTCAGAGTTCTGTGCTGCACAGAAGAATGACTGTGCTTTAAAGTATCTGAAAACCCCTGGCACATTCCATCTGGAATGTAACACAAGTACTGTAGCAGTTTGTTTGTTTGTTTGTTTTCCTGCCACTAAGTCACTTTCCATTTGTCCTCCACAAAATACTGGTTATCCTCTACCCCTTTAAAATCTTTTTCGCCCTGTTTGTTTCTTCCTACGTTATTTCTTCCAACCTTCCATATAAGCTCCAGTGGGTAAAGCTAGTGTGCTTTCTTTCATCATGTCTAGCAGGGAGGTGGTTATGTTCGCAACAGATGTAACTGATGATCTCTTCAAGCAAGAGGACACAATTTACAGATGACTGTAACAGCTCTGACTACATTTTTCCTGAACTTTTATGGTTTTCCCTGAAAAACTGCCATAGAAAATTGCCTCATTTCCCTGCCTATCTAAAAAGGGTGTGCCTAGAAAAACTGATTTTAAGTCTGCTTGTTCCTTTTCCTTACCCATGGTGCTGACCTCTTTTAATCTCCATGGTACATGGCAAAGTGTTACCCTCTGTTCTAGAAACCCGTCACTCATGGAAGTCAATTCTGACCCTTCTTTTTGTCATGTACCTGCTGAAATTGATCTCAAGGCCCTAGACCCCACCTGCCTCCTTGTCACCAAAACTTTCTTCTCCCTGCTGTCTCCTCCTCCCACCTCACAGGCTCTTCACCACCTTCTTAAATCTTCTCTGGGCATTCCAGGGATATTTCCCAGTCAACCCATTCTAAACCCAGTTGTTAGCAATACAACCAGAATTTTTCACCCTCAAAATAAAACCTGTATTTCAGAACACCCAGATACAAGTCTTTGTTTCTTTCATAATTCTTAAAACTACCAATTTATCATTGAGTAATATGTTAGCCCTCACTGCGCTGACACCTACTTCAGATTAAAGAATATTTCTTAACTTGTCTCTCCATTGTTAACCTCTTCTCTTTTTTTTTCCTCCTCTTTTTTTTCTCTTTTTTAATGTTAACCCTTTTGAGTTATTCTCTCTGGCACATCCTTGACCAACGAGGAAGAATAGTGCCTTGTGGCACTGGTGATTCAAGCAGGAAGTCCTTCCCTCTCGGGGCCAAAGTGAAATGGCTCAGCCCTTCCTGACTACCTCAGAGGAACTCAGCAGCCTCGACTGAGATTGATCCTCAAAAGGTGCCAAGGACTGAAGATGAACTAGGGTTATGTATGTTCTTGTTTCAGAAAAGAGAGTGGCTGCTGTTGGCCAAAGGGGAGCCCCTGAGCCTGGAGTACAGCCAGAGAGTCTCTGCCAGCACCTTCTATGTGATCATGCCATCACCCTCCCTCACTCTGCTGGTTAAGGCTGTGGCCACACGTGAACTGATGCTGCCTAGCTCCTTCCCCCTGCTACCTGAGGACCCAACTGATGACAGCCTTAAGACTGTGGAGGCAAGTGGGGCTCAGATCTCACAGACCTACGGGGCAGTGAGAGGTGAGAGAAGAGAATGGAGTTGAGAAAGGATGGAAGAGATGGGTGAGCCCATGAGGGAATGAGCTCAAGGGCAGCTCCAGTCAAGCCGGGAAACAGAAAGAGATGTGGTTCCGAGAGGTACAGTAGGAGTGCCAAAGAAGGAAGCAAGGATAGAAACCGAGGCTGGGTAGAAGGAAATTAATACTTAGATTAAGGCAGCAGGTAAGGAATGAAATGAAAAAGAGATTAGAAGAGAAAGCTGTAGAGAGAGAAGGGTGGTAGGTATAGAGGAACGACTGGGGATTAGTGACATCCTTGGAAGAGTGTAAGACATGCACACCCCTGAAATCTGATCAAAATGAACACCAACAGTAGCTGTAAAGGAAAAATGCGGAAACTGCTACAGAAGGGAAACCTAGATAGAATGCAAGGGTGTGCAGACCAGGAAGTCATAGACCAGCCCATTCCAGCTCCAAGTCATGCACTTGATTCTAGTTTTGTTTCATTTTGTTTTTGCACTGGCTACCCTGCCCCCCTGGGAGCTCTGGTAGCATAGTGCCTAAGGCACTTGACTGCTAACCAGAAGGCTGGTGGTTCAAACCCACCAGCCACTCCTCAGAAGGAAGATGGGGCAATCTACTTCCGTAGTGATACTGCCTCGGAAACCCAAGGAGGGGTCACTATGAGTCGGATCCGACTCGACGGTACATAACAACAACAACAACCCTGCCCCCCCGCTTCCAACCTCACTCTTACCATAGAGGGGAGATTGTCAGGTGAGAACAGAGAGATGAGTGTCTTAGGGGGCAAAAGGGAAAGGAGAAGACACAATGGAAGGCAGGGGAAGAAAAAAAGTAAGGAGGAGGGAGAAAAAGGAGATGACAAAGAAACGGGAATATATGTATGCATTCTTGTGCCTTTGTGTGTTTATTTTTGCATCCCTGAGCGTGTATGTGCTTGAGTCTCTAGATTGGTGTCTGTGTGGGTAAGTCTGTGCCCATCTGTGTGACAGCCTGTCCTTACAGGTCCATTTTCTCTGCATTACTGTATGGGAGTATACCCATGTTTGTGTGCATCAATTTCTATTGAGGAACGAGGAAAAGGCAGCCACTGCAAGAACCCGAATGGGAAGGGCTTCAAAAAGACTCAGCTGCAAAGGAGGGAGCAGCTCTGAAGGCCCCTCTCTTCCCCTGCTCCTCTCTTCCCCTCCTCCCCTCTTCCCCTCCTTCTCTCTTCCCCTCCTTCTCTCTTCCCCTCCTCCTCTCTTCCTGGGGTCTAAATTTTGTATTTCCTCTGTCAGCCTCCCAGGCTGGGATGGGAGAGATGGCTCTGGGCATCAAATTATGGAACCACACTGCTGCTGGATGGCTGTCTTATGTGCAAAAAGGACAGAGGCTGAGATTGTGCTCCCGGCTTGGCAGCCATGGGGATTCAGAGAGAGGTGGGCACGAGTGGCCATGGCTCACTCAGCGTCTCACTTCGGGGCCAATGGTTCCTGGCACAGGATGTTGTGGCCGGAAAACCTGACTGCTCAGGAATGCTGTGTTCGCGTGTCCCTCCTCCCGGTATGCTCACCACTCACTCTCAGGCTGAGAACTCTATGTACTCCCCGCCCCACCTCACACTCCATAGTGTGAGCATCCACACCCCACCACGGTCACCCCTCCCTCAGCACTCACACTGCAGCCTTTGTAGCCCTCACAGCACTCCCCGCCCCTCTCAGAAGCCTGCCTGGCACACAATTCTCAGGGTCAGAGTGTCCAGTGCCCCTAACTACTTGGGGTTGCTCCTCCCTCTGGTACCCTTGCTTGACACTTAACCTCATAAGCACTGAGACCTCAGGGACACCCATCTATTTCACTGGTTACCGTGATGCCCTCAGTAATTCGCACCTCCTCCAGCTTCTCACACTCAGGGGTCTCTGCCTAACGTTTTGTATTTCTGTGACCTCAATTTCCCTGGGTGAGGCCCCTCCTCTCTTTTCTTCAGAGCATGCTGGACACCCTGGAACTAGAGCCCACCTACAACCCATTGAAGGTCTGGAGCCACCTGTACTCACACCTGAACAGCATGTTGGCCAAACCTCAAGGGCAGGTCCAATCAAGCCGGGAGAGCCAGGCCCTGAGGAAGGTACCAGCTCCCATCCATACCTGCCTTTCATTACTTCCCTCCTTCCCCTTTATGCCCAGAGTCTAAGAGAGTGAGCCCTCCCAATGGGAAGCTCTGGTAGTGTAGTGCCTAGGGCACTTGACTGCTAACCAGAAGGCTGACGGTTCAAACCCACCAGCCACTCCTCAGAAGGAAGGTTGGGCAATCTACTTCCATAGTGATACTGCCTCCACAACTCAAGGAGGGGTCACTATGAGTCAGATCTGACTCGAGGGCACATAACAACAACAGCAAGTGGATGAGGTCAGGTCAACTGCAGTAAACTGGGCCTCAAGAGAGAAGGATGAGGTTTTCAGAGCTCATGAAAAACAAGTGAGAGTGAAATCTAAGCTTCATTCCAAAATCCATTCCCTAATCCCCTACCCAAGGGAGTAGCCCTCCTCCCTGATCCCACCCATGGTAGAGGTAGAACCAGGACAAGGAGAGGAAAAAAGAGTGGCCTTTCGCTCTGCTGTTGGTTTGTGCCATGGAGCTGATTCCAGCACATAGATCCTATAGGACAAAGAATTGCCACAAAGGGTTTCCTAGGCTATAATCTTTGCAGAAACAGATGCCTACATCTTTTTTTCTGTGGCACCTCTGGTAGGTTTGAATACCAACCTATCAGTTGGCCAAGGACTTAACCATTACGCCACTAGGACCTATTGCTTTAAAAAAAAAAACAAAAAACCTCACTGCCATGGAGTAGATTCTGAGTCATAGCAACCCCATTGTGTTGGACGGAGACTGCCCCATCTTTCTTCCAAGGAGTGGCTGGTGGGTTTAAACTGCCCATCTTTTCAGTTAACAGCCTAATGCCTTAACCACTACACCACCAGCGCTCCTTGCCTATTACTACAAACAAAGGAAATTACAAATCCTACCAAGTCGGAGGTCTGCTTTGATATTTACATCTGATAATATTGTGGTGATCCAGGCCTAATGGATAAGGCATCAACCTTCAGAGCTGGGGATTGTGGGTTCAAGTCCCACCTGGTGATGTAGTGGATAAGGCATGTGGCTGCTTTATCCACTGCTAGAAGGTCAGTGGCTCAAACCAACCAGCAGCTCTGTGGAAGGAAGATGGGACGATTACTTCTGTAAAGATTTACAGCCTCGGAAACCCAATGGAGATCACTATGAGTCAGAATGGCATTGTTTTTTAATGTTTAGGTATCTTAATTGTAGTTTATAACTGATAACTGATTGGTCATTTAACAGACTGCTATCCCATTAAGCGGGAGCTCTGGTAGCATAGTGCCTAAGGCATGTGACTGCTAACCAGAAGACTGGTGGTTCAAACCCACCAGCCACTCATCGGAAGGAAGGTTGGGCAATCTACTCCCGTAGTGATACTGCCTCGGACACCCAAGGAGGGGTCACTATGAGTCGGGTCCGACTCGATGGCACGTAACAACATCCCACTAAGCAAACTGGCTGTACTAGAACTACAACCACACTCCCTTCTTGAAAAAAAAAGTCAAAGAAAGTGGGAGAAGAAATGCCCAAGGGAAGGGAAATTCATATTTAATGAGTACCAACCATTTGTAGCTCTGTGGTAAGTACTCTTACACTGTATTTTCTCATTTAATCCCCACAGCATCCCTACAAGGTAAGTTTTCTGCTAGTTCTACTGTTGAAAACAGTAAGGCTGACCAGGGTGATAGCTCAAAGACAAGGGTTGAAGAAAGGACAGTAATTGAGGGCAAAGAGTTCTTTTTATGAAATCCGTATTTTCTAATGCTTGGGCTTTCTCTTGCTGTTATTAATCTTTTCCTCGTTTCTCAGTAACACTGCCTTTAGAAAAACTCCCCTTTTGTCTTAGTTGAAGTAAGATACAGACATTTCCATACTATAATCTAGAGGCAGATGTGTGGAAGCAGAGCCCATCCCAGACCCATCCCAGGCTAGCTGGCGAGCAGGGTGGAGGCTGGCGCCAAGGGGGACTCCATGATCATGCTCCCCGAGCCTTGAGGCTGTCACTGCAGGAATGGGACATGAGAAAGAGTTAGGACAGGAGGCCCAGCAGGAAGGAACAGGGTAAGAGATCAGGAACTGTGATTGCTCTTTTTGCAGGCTGGGCAATTGCAGGCCAACCGAGTTCGAGCCACAGTGGCCCCTCTGCCTATGACTCCAGTCCCAGTCAGAGCCCCCAAGATGCCAGCAGCCCAGAAAGCTTCCTCTGAAGACTTCTTGCTTCCTTCTAATGAGGAGGAGGAGGAAGAGGATCCCTGAGGGCCCGAAGTCTCCAGTGCCAGAGCCTAGCTGCCCTGCTGCACCACATCCATGCTGAAGTTCACTCAGTGGCTGTCTGTAGTCAGACTTGCCATCTATCCACCTGAGCCTCTGTGCACTCACTCACCGGGGACTGCGAAAAAGCCTTCCTTGGACCCTCAGTGCTGCTACCACCCCCTCTTCTTGTGGGGGGGGGCACCCGAGCCTTGTCCTTCTCTAAACAGGGGCGCTAGTTTTCTTTTGGATCATTTGATATTATTAACAGAGATGGAGATTAAACTCATTAAGCTTTTACCATTGTTAGCATTCCCAACCCAGAATTTCTCTTTGTAGCTGTGAAAGCAGGCAGATGAAGTCGGGTCACCCTAGGGAAACTGGGCCTCTGGAAACAAGGATGAACTTTTCAGAGCACATGAAAAACAAGTGAGAATGAAACCCAAACCTCAGTCCAAAGCCCATGCCCCTCCCACTTACACCTACCACACTGCAGTTCTCTTTAGCTTCCACACAGACCAAGTGAGGGTAGAGTCAGGGGAGAGGATGGTGTGAAAAAGACCTACTCCTTTTCCCCTAACCCCACTCCTGCCCACCCTCCTGTCAGCCCCCTCCATCCATAAAACTCCCATTTATAAAACACTCTGCTTCAAATTACACAAAGTACTTTAGAAAATTGTATTTCAAATAAACCTGTGAAGTAGAGCCTATTATTAATTGTTCCAGTTTACATAGAGGCAGCAGGGAGAAACTGAGGGTTGGAAATGCTATGTAACATGCCCAGGCTCACAGAAATAGATTCTAGCCAATTCTGCCCTGATTTGACTACCATGCCCTTTACTGAATCACTGCACTGTTCCCCCTCATTGGGGCCCCACCTTCTCCCATGGCCCCCAACACATTCCTGCTTCTCCTCTAGATGCCCCCATCCCACCCAACTGTGTCCCCGCTGTGTTTGTTAACACACATAGACCTCTTTACTCCAAACTGGCTTTAATGAAAATAATTTTTTTTAAAAAAAATCTCTCTGGCAAAGGGTTAGGATCCAGGCACAGTCCAGCATTTCCCTAGAGCATCGATACAGGCCTCTCAAACGCTACCTATTCTGATCAAACACCCCTTTCTATAGGCCCAATCCAGCAGCTATCCATTCCTTTGGGAGTAGGAGGTTTTGGGGTGCTGATCCTCACCAGATCCCATCCCTCAGTTCCTGCCATCTGTTCTACTTCCTAGGACTTTTGGGGAATGATCCCCCTTCCCTTGACTCCTCTAATCCCTCTGGGCCCCTGGTCTCCTGTGCCCTGGTTCTAACAGGTTTCTTTCATCCCCAGTGCCACCTTCCCATGGTCCTCCTGTTAGTCCCCAGCCTGGCCTTATTTTTAGATGGAGCCTTCTGACTTAACTCTAGTCCTGTTGGTTCCTGCTCTAGAGACCACCACTGTCCCAGCTCCCTGAGGCCCCACTCTTCTGAACTTGGCTATACAGGACAGTGTCTGAGCTGTGGCCTTTGCTGCCACTGCCAGTTTCAGTACCCGGTTCAAGGAGCACCAGACCTTGTGGCTTGGGAGCTAGGAGAGGCTTTGTGCTCCGGGAGGGGGGCACAGCATAGTCGTCAGTAGCTGGGTTGTAAGGAAGCTCATAGCCTTCTTCCTTCACCCGAGCCTGGCACCACCATGCATCCTTGGGTTCCTGAGGCAGGTCATAAAGGCTTCTGAGAGGGGCTGGGGCCAAGCCCTCAGGTTCATCATAGATAGGATCCTCTTTGGGGTCCTTCAGGTTGGCCTTCAGTAACTGCTCCTGTACATGCTCATACAAGTCCCAGTAGAGAGGTTTCTTCAACTGCTTCACCCCTCTTGTTCGATCAGGGGTGCTGTCCACGGGGTCTGAATATAGAGAGTCCCGGGGAGGGCCTGGAGGGATGCGCAGAGAGTCTAATGGTTCAGCATACAGGGCTGGGGGGCCGCCCAGGAGCTCCTGGGGGCCACAAGGAAAAGCAAGCATCCCTTCTGCTACCTCTCCTTCATGGGACTCTGCTCTCACGACATCATGCCCCTGACCGGCCTTTGCCTGAGCCTTCGCCTGAGCCTTCTGCCGGTGGATAGCAGTCTCAACTGCCTGAAAGATGTCATTTCCCTGTGCTGTCTGGAAGGTGAATGTTCCGGGGCCAGAAGGGCAGCGGCGGCCGGCCTCAAAAGAGAACATGACCTGAATGAGGTGTGGAGGAAAGCATCGGAGGAGATAAGTCACAAGGCTGCACTACAAAGCAATGCACTTTCTCAGAGTCGGATCCGACTCACAGCGACCCCTCCTTGGGTTTCCAAGGCAGTATCACTATGGAAGTAGACTGCCCAACCTTTCTTCCAAGGAGCAGCGTTGGTGGGTTTGAACCACCAGCCTTCTGTACTAGGTAGAGAAAAGAAGAGATCGCCTGAGGGGGAGGGGGTCATAGGGTAGGCAAAGAAGGGTGACTCCAGACAGCAGAGTTTCCCACCTCCTGTCCTGTCTCACCCCACCCACAGCTGCCAGACACAGCAAGCCCTCCCTGACAGCCCTCCCTGACAGTCTGCCCACCACCACCTTGTCACGGCCATAACGACGCAATAGGGTGTAGGGCCAGGAAAGGAGGGGCTCCAGTCTCTGACTCTGGGTCGCCACTGTCAGAAGAGTCAGCCTCTCAGTCTCCGCCCTCAGCACATAGGAGCCATGCAGGCCACAACGCTCAGCAGCCTCCGTCCTCTGCACGGTTACCCAGAACTGGGCTCCTGAAAGGAATACTCAATTAGACGCTTACCGGAGCTACTTAAAAGGAGCTGAGGCGGACCAGTGGAAGTTAGAAGTTGAGTGTCCAAGAACTCATTTGGAAGCTAGATCTCCTTCCCCACGGGTCCATGAACCCTCTAATCACTCCTTTCCGAAGGGCACCGTTCTTCCCCACCCCATCCCTACCCGGGCTTCTCAGGAGGCTGTTACCTTCCCAAGTGGGGCTATACAGCGAGTTCTCCAGCATCTCCAACGAAGAAAGTTTGGGTGGGTTCTCAGCAGGTGTAAGAGACCAGCTGCCTTTCTGTAGTAAGAAGAAAGAATATAAAGGACCCCATAATTTCCCCAGCGTAGCTTCCAGGGTGTGAGTCACCCAGATGCCTCAACAGCTGTAACTCCCTCCTCCCGCGTGTTCCCGGCCCCCTCACCGGAAAGGCATTTCGGCACAGCGTTTGCACCCAGGCGGCACTGGATTGCGCGTCTGCGGCCAGCAGGTGGGAGCGCTGCGCAGTGTCCAAGCGGAAGGCTGCGGCGCCGGGCTCTGGGGGGCTCTCCAAGGCCACAGGGGCCACGCTGACACACTCCGCCAAGCGGATCACCTTGCAGTCCAGGCGGCGCGAGCTCCCGCGGCCACCCCCAGAGCCCGAGCCCTTGTGGTCAAAAAACTCGAGACGAGCCACGCCGTGGGGGCTGGCAGGGTAGAGCACAGCCCAGGTCTTCCTCCACCTCTAAGGAGAGAGCCAGACGCTGAGGGAACGGGCGAGCGCGGGCTACCCAGGCCCGGACGGGGGAGGCAGAACAGGCTCAGGCCGATTTGGTATCTGAGGCTTCCCGACCTGGGGCGAAGTTTCCTAAGGGTGATGCCGCTCCTTCTCCCCAGAAACAAGGAGAGCGTACCCCAAGGTTGGCAGACGCTTCTCAGCAGTGTGCAGAGCAACTTCGCGGCACCATCAGGAGGGCTCTCCAGCTCTCGGGGAGCGCTCCAACCCACGCCCGCTCCCTCCTTTCTGGGCCCTTTCGACCACCCCCAACACCCCCCACTACCTTGGTCCCGAAGCGCTGACTCTGCAAAAAGAGCGGCCCTTCCATCTCGGCCCCGTCCATAGCCCCCGGCAGTCCTTTCCGCGCTTCCTGGCCCAGGAGGCCAGAGGCGGACCCGGGCGGGTCGGAGGCGGGGCCCGACGCGCCGGAGGCGTTCCCGTCCCAGAGCCCCGGGCCTCGAAACTGGGGAGGGAGTAGACTAAGAAGGATGGGGGTCTTCAGCTAAACAGGAAGACCGCGCCACCTCGGGCCCCTTACCCATGGCTGTGGCGCGCGAACAAGTTGCTATACTGAGAGAAAACGTCGAGTTTCTGCCAGAGCGCCCAGGCGCGTGGACGAGGGGATTTCGCGTGACGTCATATGCCCAGCGTGACGTCAGAGTGAAAGCCGTGACATCACCCCGAAAGTGCCTGCAGGCACCTTGGGGCCCTAGAGAAGCTACATGGGCCCTCATGGCCTCAGTCCCCTTAACCGGGCCCGCTGCCAGCCTGGCCGCAGTTGGTCTGTTTACCCTCCGCCGAGCCGTGGGGGCGTGGGGGAAGGGCTGGGGGCTGGAAGGCTTCCCGGAACCCCGAGCCGAGCCGCGTCCTCCCGCCGCCACAGATGCCGCCGCCCCGGCTTGTAGGCGGCCCTGGAGCCTTTTGCGTGTCCAGCTCCCCGACCGCAGCTGTCCGGCCTCCAACCTGCGGGAAAAGAAAGCTTCATTGAGCGGGCCGGGAGCAGAGGGAGGCGGCGCGGCTGAAGCCAGCTCCGCGGGGGAGGGGAAGATGGAGAGGAGAAAAGGAGGGAACTAGTGAGGGAGGAATCTAGGGAGAAGGCGGAATGTGGGAGGGCTGAAGAGGACGTAGGAGGGACGAACGAAAAGAGAGGAGGGGGGTCTGATCTCCCCTGGCCGAGCAGAGCACTTTTTTTTTTTTTTTTTTTTTTTTTTTTTTTTGGAAATCCTAGGACTGTTCTCCGGGACTAAGACGCTTCATCTAGCCCCTAGGGCCCGGCTCAGCCAAAGGTAGGGGGAGTCAGGCTGCTCTGCCCGAGAAACGAGATTTGGGGATGGAGATCGTAGAGGGACCAGGGAAAAAGGATGGAGTCGAGAGGAAACCAACCAAATGAGAGTTTTATTATTGTCAAGAAGGAGTGAAACACTAGAAGAGTGGAGAAAAAGGGGGGGGGGGTCGTGCCGGGTGTTCCAAATAGGGCAGCCCGGAGGACCATGAGGCTGGGGGCCTCTCTCTGAGGCTTTAGCCCCATGCCCCCAAGCCAAAATATCCTCAGAACAAAGATGTCTTACTGGGCTGTTTATCTGGATTGGGAGAAGCAAACATTTTCCAGGGGGCACCTCACTGTGGAGGGGCTGTTGTCAGGCCCTGACCAAGAGAGGGCGTTGGCTTCGGGGTTGATCAGAGCCCTGGCTTCGGGTTGCTCCGTTGCTCCGCAACTGCCCAAGGCTCTAACAACCCCACCCCATCCCCCTGCCCAGCTTGGGGCCTGGCCCTCCTAGGGCTGTTGACACTGCTGAGCATCTGACAGCCTGTACGCTGGACAGGGTGTGCAGCGGGTTCTCCATGTGGTCTAGTGTCTGCCCTCCCTGCTTTAGGCATCTGGGACTCTGAGTTCCATTCCCATTCAAGATATCAGAGATCTGAGGATCTCATGGGTCCGCCTTGCTTGCCTCTCGGCACCATCAGTAGAGCTATCTGTCCATCTCTCCAACTGGCTGAATGGGGTTATCTAGGTCCTCACACTTCTGCTCCTAGACTGGGGTCAGTCCCTCTCCCTCTCACCTGTTTCCTGTATTTTTCTCTCACTCCCTAATTCTGTGTGCCTGCATCTCCCTATCATCTTCTAGTGTCTTATTCTGGGTCTCTTTCTGTTTATCTCTTTCATTCCCACGTTCTTCCTTCTTCTGACATCCTGTCTGTCTGGGTCTTCCTCTCTGTGTGTCTCTAACTCAGTCTCCTCATCTCTTTGTGTTAGCCATTCTTAGACTCTTGGTCTCTGATCACTGTTTTTTGATCTCTGGGTCTCATAGTCTGGGGAGTAGGGATAATGAAGATGATGATGGCAGAACTAGGAAAAGTTATTGTGGGACATTACTAATCATGAGGGGTTTAATACTTACAAAATGCAAGAATGGTTGTCTCTCTTTCTCCTTCTCCTCTTTCTCCCTCTTTCTCCTTCTCTCCTCAGTCTAGGTCTGGGTCACTCTATCCTTTCCTCTTTGATTTTGTGTCTGCCCTTATTTAGTATCTCTCTCAGGAGCTCTGTTTCTGTTCTTTCTCAGTGTCTTTTTTCTTTCATGACATCTCTCTCAGACTCTGGGCTTCACTCAGTCTCAGTTTCTCTCTCACGCTCTGTCTCTCTCTCTGGGGCACCCAGGCCTTCCCTGCCATGCAACCTGTCAGTGTCTGGCAGTGGAGCCCCTGGGGGCTGCTGCTGTGCCTGCTGTGTAGCTCATGCCTGGGGTCTCCGTCCCTGTCCATGGACCTTGAGAAGAGGAACGGAAGCCAGGGACTGCGGTTCCGGCTGGCCGGCTTCCCCAGGAAGCCCTACGAGGGCCGTGTGGAGATACAGCGTGCTGGCGAATGGGGCACCATCTGTGATGATGACTTCACACTGCAGGCTGCTCACGTCCTCTGCCGGGAGCTGGGCTACACAGAGGCCACAGGCTGGACCCACAGTGCCAAGTATGGCCCTGGAACAGGTGAGCAGTGCCCTGAGAAGAGCCTAGGTACCCTGATTGCCTAACTGAGGCCTAAGTGTAGGAAGAGGACACCAAAGACAGCTGGTGTCAAGAAAACCCATGGTTTTTTTTTTTTTTTTCCCTCTCTCCTTTCTTTCGTAAAATTGTATGATTCTGTAAAGCTATGCACAAGGACAATTAAAGTACAGCTTGTTCCATAGGAAGATAAGAGCAGATAAATGATATCAGGATGTCCCAAAGCCAGAAGGGACCACAAATACTACAGCTGACAAAATCAGGTTTCAGGTCAGAGCTGAAACTCATAAAGTGAAACTGAATAAGGACAAGTATAATGCTTAGGACAAATCTAAGTTTGGATGATGAGGGATTAAGAGTACTTCTGACCAAGTGCTAGGAGTACTTGCAGTGCAGGAGGCCACGATAGAAGTTAATGCAACCTGAAGCTGATTCCGTAATCCCCACTGGCTAGATTTCTGGAATAAACTATCTACTGAAAGATGCCACATTTTTAAGAGACACTCAAAAAAAAAAAAAAAAAAAGGTGGACATTCAATAATTTCAGGAGGTAGCTGTGTTGTGTACCTAACGTGACCCTATAAAAAAGCATAGCAATCCATTTCATCCTATGTTTTGGGAAAAAAAAAAAAAAAAACTAACTGCTATCGAGTCGGATCCAACTCATAGCAACCCCTCCTTGGGTTTCCAAGGTGGTATCACTATGGAAGTAGATTGCTCAATCTTCCTCCCAAGAAGTGGCTGGTGAGTTTGAACCGCCAGCCTTCTGGTTAGCAGTCCAATGCCTTAGACACTAAAATGGAAATACTTTCAAAGGAAAGCTACCCAGATGTCAAAGATTCAGAAGCCGTGTTTTAAGGAGGAATAAGTGGAGAAACCAGAGATATTTGATCTGGAAAGAAAAAGCCTTAAAAGTTACACAATGATTGTCTTTAAATATAATAAGGGCAGCCATCTGACGAAAGGCTCTTTCTGCATGGCATCAAAGGACTGAATCAGATCTGATGGGGGAAAGTCATATAGAGTCACATGGACTTTCTGGTGGTTACAATGACCTGGTGGAGATAGGTGTCCCAATAGAAGCTGGGTATGCCCTGTCATGGAATGCATGAGGGGTCCCTGCACACTGGCTAGGACAGAAGACCTTTGAGGTTCCACCCAGTTCTAAGAATGGTATCCAGTATGGTTCAGGCAGAGAGAATGACAAAGGGCAACATGACAGCATAGGCAGGGCAACCACATGGGAAAAGGTGTGACTGAGATAAAAGGATCTTTGGTGTCCAAGCCTCCCAGACTAGGCTCCAAAGCCTAAGCCTCCTCCAGCTGTGTGGCTATGTGGTCTTATGCAGGTTATTTAACTTCTCTGAGGCCTAGTGTCTTTATATGAAACAGTGATAATATCTTCCTGGCAGCACTGTTCCAAGATGATGACATAGATGCAGAGCCTGGCCAAGTGCCTGGCACACAAGGGTGCTTGGTTAATTGTAGCTGTCACTGAATGAGTAAGGACTGATCAGAATGTCAGTGTTGATTCTTGCTTTGTTTTTCACCCTATCAAATTCTTGGAGCTCCCTCCCTCAAACCTATGCCCTCTTCTTCTCCTATCCCCTCCACAGACTCTAGTCTCTTCACTACCCATTAGTTTCCCAGCAAAGTGAGCTCCTCATGGCCAGATGTGAAGCCCCAGTGCTCAACCCTCCCAACAGCCCCATCACACCCCCATACTACCTCTCTAAGCCTCTCTCTGCCCCTCATCTCCACCTCCACAGGCCGCATCTGGCTGGACAACATTAACTGCCGTGGAACTGAGCAGAGTGTGACCGAATGTGCCTCCCGGGGCTGGGGGAACAGTGACTGTACCCATGATGAGGATGCTGGGGTCATCTGCAAAGACCAGCGCCTCCCTGGCTTCTCAGACTCCAATGTCATCGAGGTCCGCTTCTCTCTCTCTCCCTCTCTTTCTCTCTCTCTCTCTCTCTCTCTCTCTCTCTCTCTCACACACACACACACACACACACACACACACACAAACTACCCAGGATGGCAGACAGGGAGGGCTGTGGGGTGGCTAAATATGGTTATAGAAGGTACTAGAAGGCAAGGAATCCCATATACCCCAAGGAATAATTTGGGTTGGTAGGAGGCTTGGAAGGGGGCTCTAATGATAGAGATCTTGGGTGCTGTAGGGTCCAAGGTTACCATTAGCTTTCAGGTTACTAAATATGTCATGAGTCTCTCTAGCTTCATCCCTGGTCAGTCTGTACTCTCTATTGCTTCAGATATTCCTACTCTACTGGAACATCTCCCTTACTACTTATTCCTCCTTCTTGAAGGTCTAATTTAAATGCCATCCCCTCTGTGAAATGCTCCTCCCCCCAAACAGAGCTAGTAGGATCTGAAATAAGGACTAGTGTGGCTACCACTTGCTCTCTTGTTCCTCAGCTCCCTCAGCTTCCTAATCAGAACACAGCATATCCCTCCACTCTTAAGGCTGCGGGACAGTCAACACAATCCGGAGGGTGGGTTTCCCCCAGAGCAGTCATCGCTTCTCTCACCCCTACCTCAGCGCCATCAAGCCACTGGGTTTGCAGCAAGCACTGAATCCCTAAGGGTGGCAGAACACATGAAAGGAGCTAGGGTGCTACTAAAATTCCCCTGCTGTGGTTCCATCCCAGGTAGACCATCAATTGCAAGTGGAAGAGGTGCGGCTTCGAGCAGCTGTTGGGCGGGGCAGGCGACCGCTGCCTGTGACTGAGGGACTGGTCGAAGTTCGGCTCCTTGAGGGCTGGTCGCAAGTGTGTGATAAAGGCTGGAGTGCCCACAACAGCCATGTGGTCTGCGGGATGCTGGGCTTCCCTAGCGAAAAGAGGGTCAACACGGCCTTCTACAGGTGAGGGGCTGCAGACGCTGGATGGAGATTTTGGAGAGGTTCTGGAGCATTGGGGTTACCAGGCGTCTAGAAGAGTGGGAAAATATGGGAGCTGTTGCGAAGCTGGAGAGTTGAGAAATCTTGTGGGCCCACGAGGGCTCCCCAAAGAGGATCTCAATTGGGGACCTATGAGGTTCCTGCTCTCGAGAGTCGCCAGCCAGGGCGGAGCTAGTGGTTGAGAGTCGCTACATTCGTGCCCTTGACGCAACTGGTTGGCAGGCAGATTCTCCCTGGATGGAGTGAGCGGACGCTCACAAGGCCACGCCTACTGGCCGGTGAGAACAAAGAAAGGGCCTAGAGGTCCGAGCGGGCGAGGCCGGGCGTCTGCCCAGGAGTGCACGGGTGCGCGGCCACGGCTCTGCCAAAGTGGCGCCTGGGTGTGGCCAGCACGGGGCTAGGCACCTGGGGACTGAGGAGCAGTGTCAAGTCAAGCCCAGCAGCTGAGCGCCCCCACCAACGCGGGGCGCGGAGGCGCTAGTCGAGGCTAGAAGGCTACTCCCAGCCGGCCGCTGGCTTGGGAAGAGCCACGCCCCTCCCTCAACCCAGGTAGCGCTCGAGGCTGTGAGCCCTCAGCATTCTTTGGGCAGTTTCTTCCAGAATGGCCTCAGACCCAGGAACCCGACCCTCCCCACTTGCCACTGTGCCCTGGTGCCCACGCCATCTTCCAGATAACAAATCATGATGGTGAATTGTTCTGTGTTTATAGCATCTTGTTCCTTGGTGCACTTAATTGGTCATCTTGAGCAACAGAGAGCCTTTGGGAACCATAAAATTATTTGAAGATCTCTACACTCTAATCTTCTATTTTGCAGGCCAAAACTGCTTATTTTCTTCAGCAATTTTCTAGCTAGACTTGTGTGGCAAAAAAGACCTCTTGACATCTAGGTGACCTTCCAGTGGGCACAGTACTCCAGATGTGATCTGATTATGGCAGACAGAGTATAGTAGAAAGCTCTACTTTGATTGTTGTTATTCTTAGGCGCTGTCAAGTTGGCTCTGACTCTTAGCAACCCTATGTACAACAGAGTGAAACAGTGCCTGGTCCTGCCATCATCAAAAGCTCTGCTGTTTCACTGCTATTAATAAGATTTTCAGTGGCCAATTTTTTCATACACGTTTTGTTTCATGACATTGATTGTAATTTCCCACATCTCTCTTCCCACTTCCTCCCTGTAGTTACCTCTTCCCTGTGCCTTTTTTTATTTATGTGGTGGATTACATTGATTGTTTTTCTAATGTTGAACCATCCTTGCATACCTGGTATGAACCCCACTTGGTCATGATGAATGATTTTCTTGATATGTTGTTGGAGTCTATTGGCTAGGATTTTGTTGAAGATTTTTGCGTCTATATTCATGAGGGATATTGGTCTGTAGTTTTCCTTTTGGGTGATGTCTTTTCCTGGTTTTGGTATTAAGGTTATGCTTGCTTCATAAAATGAGTTAGGGAGGATTCCATCCTTTTCTATGTTTTGGAATACTTTGAGTAGGATTGGTATCACTTCTTCTCTGAATGTTTTGTAGAACTCTCCAGTGAAACCGTCTGGGCCAGGACTTTTTTTAGTTGGTAATTTTTTGATGACCTGTTCAATTTCTTCTTTTGTGATGGGCCTGTTCAAATTTTTCACTTCAGTCTGTGTTAGTTTAGGTAAGTGGTGTGTTTCTAGAAAACTGTCCATTTCCTCCAGATTTTCAAATTTGTTGGAATACAGATCTTCATAGTATCCTGATATTATCCTTTTTATTTCAGTTGGTTCTGTTGTGATGTCACCCATTTCATTTCTTATTCGTGTTATTTGTATTCTCTCCCTCTTTTCCTTTGTTAAATTTGCCAGTGGTTTGTCAATTTTATTGATCTTTTCAAAAAACCAACTTCTGGTCTTGTTGATTTTTTCGATAGCCCTTCTATTTTCTGTTTCATTGATTTCTGCTCGAATCTTGATTATTTCCTTCCTTCTGGTGACTGTAGGCTTTTCTTGCTGTTCTTTCTCTAATTGTTGGAGATGTTCGTTTGAAGTGTTGATTTTGGCTCTTTCTTCTCTTTTGATGTGTGCACTTATTGCTATAAATTGGCCTCTGATCACTGCTTTTGCTGTGTCCCAAAGATTTTGGTATGTTGTGTTTTCATTCTCATTTGATTCAAGGAATTTTCGAATTTCAATTTTCATTTCTTCTCTTACCCAGTCTCTCTCAAGGAGGGTGTTGTTTAGTTTCCATGTGTTTACTCTTTTGGTGCTGATCCTCCTATTATTGATTTCTAATTTGATAGCATTATGATCTGAGAAGATGTTTGCAATATTTCAATGTTTTTAAATTTATGAAGCCTTGCTTTATGGCCTAACATATGGTCTATCATGGAAAAAGTTCCATGTGCACTGGAGAAGAATGTATATTGTGCTGCTGTTGGGTGAAGTGCTCTATAGATGTCTATAAGGCCAAGTTGATGGATTGTATTGTTTAGCTCTTCTGCATCTTTGTTGAGTTTCTTTCCAGTTGTTCTATCTTTCAAAGAAAGTGGTGTATTAAAGTCTCCCCTGTGCCTTTTTTTCTATGCATTCTTGCCCACCCCCAGCTATCTCCCTGTGCAAACACTGCCTTTCTGTTCTCCCACAGTTGATCGATCTGAGGAGTGTATCTACCTGATGTAAATGTTCAGCCCATATGCCTGTCTGTTGTTTGGCTGGAAACCATAGGAGTGAGTTCAGTTCCAGACCTGAAGGGTAACCATAGTCTCAGGGGTCTCACCAGGCTCTATCAGACCAGCAAACCTGGTCTTTTTTGGCTAGTTTTTTCAGGAGTGGATGGCTCCACCCTACTTCTGAGTCTGTCTTAGTCTGGAAGCTCCACTGAAACCTGTCCACCATGGGTGACCCTGCTGGTATTTGAAATACTGGTGGCATAGATTCGTAGTTTTTGCATTGCCTTTCTGTTGAGGCAGCTTTGTACTGCTCATGTGGAACTTGTAACCACCTATGACCAATTCAAGTCTTACCTTATTCTTGATCCTGGAAGAGTAGCCTTTTTGAACCTAAATGTGTTGTGTTTACCCTATTAAATTTAAATATTTAAAAACCATTAAAAAGCTATAATGATCCCATGAAATTACCTTGAATCTTGGCATTGTTTTCCATCTGTCATCCTTCCCCTTCTTCTCTGTCCACAGGCATGATTAATGTGAGTTCTGGCTTCTTCAAACGACTGTTAAAATTGTTGAAGTGTTTCAAACAAAGACTTAGTTCTTCTTGTGAAATTTTCCTCCAGATATACATCAAGCCTTTAATCATCAGTTGTGAAATATGTTTTTTCAATCAATGAAGAATAAACTGGTAGCACAATGATGTAGCAAACATTTCACTACCTTACCTATAAAGAAATCATGGGAGCTTTTGCTACTCTGCGAAAATTCAGATACACTTTTTTTTATAACATTCTCCAACCTTCCAATTAGTAATCCTGTCAAGAGTGAAATCATGGTGGTTTGACTGAGCTTGTTTTCATTGGAATCCTGTAAGGTCTCTAAGGATTGTCATTATTTCTGAATATCACAAAGTTTCTGTTTAGTAACTTATTCCAGACTATTACTTCCTTGTCTGTAGATTGAGGAATCCTTTCTCTTCTTTTTGAAAGTCAATACATTCTTCTGTCTTTTCCATATTTGCCCAAAATTTCCTTGCCTTGGCTCTGAGACGCATTCTATACTTACCCAAAATTTACTTGCCTTGGCTCTGAGACACGTCTGAAACTTCCTTCAGCCCCAGAGGGATATACTTCCTCTGGTCTAGAGACAAACTGGTTTAAAACAATTCTGTGCTCTCTTGCTGTCATTCATCTTGGGGCTGTTTTTCTCTGTGCTTGTTCTTTAACTTTCCTAATCCAAACACCAGATTCTGAACGATTATTGTTGTTAGGGGCCATGGAGTGGATTCTGATTCATAGCAAGCCCGTGTGACAGAGTAGAACTGCCCCATAGGGCTTCCTTGGTTGTAATCTTTATGGGAGCAAAACACAGGTCTTCTCCCCATGAAGCTGCTGAGTGGGTTTGAACTGCCAACCTTTCAGTTAGCAGTAGAGCACTTAACTGTTGTGACACCAGGTCTTTCTGAAAGATTAGTAGGATTTAAATAGCATTGCAAATGAAGAGGACAGCATGAACAAAGGTGCAGGGATTCATTCAGTCAGTATTTATTTACTGGGTGCCTACTATGTGCCAGAAACTGCTGTAGACAGTAGGGATTCAACAGTTCACAAAACAGACAAAAATCCCTGATCTCATGGATCAGAGGAGAAGTGACAAGAAAATAAATAAGTAAAATTATAACACATAACGATTTTAAAAAGAGTGTAATGGATAAAAATAAAGCAGAGAAGGGGTTAGGAAGTAGAAGTAGGATTGCAGTTTTAAATAGAATGGTTAGGGATGGCCTCTTTGAGAAGGTATCATTTGAGAAAAGATTTAAAGATGAGGGAACAAGTTATGCAGACATCTAGGCAAGCATTTCCAGGAAAAGGGATGATAAAGTTCTGGGAGGCACTGGGGTGGGGGAGGGGGAGTCCCTCCTGTCATGCTCCAGGAAGCCACTGTGGCTGCAGCCCGAGTGAACAAGGGAGAAAAAGATAGAGAGAGAATGACGAAGGCAGATCATGTGGGGTCATCTTGGAGACACTGCCCTTTAGTCTGTGTAAGATAAGGAACCATTGGGGGCGTTTTGAGCAGAGGCATGATATCTGACTTCCATTTTTCAAAGGATTCCGTTGGCTGCTTTGTTAAGAATAGGCAATAAGGGACAGAGTGGAGGCAGAAAAACTATTTAGGGGGTTATTGTCTCCTGAAAGCCAAGTGAAGAAAGTGAAAGGTGATGGTGACCTATGGAGAGGGGGAAAATGATCACATTCTGTAGATAAATGAAGGCAGAGTCAATAGGATTTGCTGATGGATTCCATGTGGTGTTAGAGAAAGAGGGG